CCCCCCAGACATACCCCCTCGACGAGGACACCCACATGGTCGTGGAGGACCTCGAGTGGACCGGCGACCTGGCCGGCGGCCCGGTGGGCACCCTCCACGCCGGCACCCACGTCGAGGTGCTGGTCGGCCCGGCGCGCTCCCGGGCCCCGGCCGACACCGTGCCGCAGCTGTACCTGCAGCCGGCCGGCCCGGATGCGCCGCTGGCCCTGCGCGTGGACCTCCTGGCCGGCCCGCCGGGCCCTTCGCCGCCGCCGCCGCCGCCGGCCGCCTCCACGCTGGCCGGGCGCATGCTCATCGCCCCGGACACCTACCGCCTCGTTCGCCTGGTGGCCGAGCCCCGCCCGGAGGCCGATGTCTTCCTGCGCGCCGGCGACTGGTACTCGCTGCTGTGGTGCGTCCCCCCGCGCGCCCCCGCCCCCGTCCCCTTGCCCCGCCCGGCCCCATGGTGCCCGATCCTGACGGACGCCCCACACCGGCGGCCGCTCCTCGCCCGGCACGCGCGCGCCCCCCCCCCCCCCCTCCCCCCTCCGGGACCATGGGACTGCCCAGTCCCGACGAGAACCCCCGGTCCACCCTGCCGCCGGGGTGGGTGCGCCTGGCGGAGGCCGACGCCCCGGGGCTCCTGCCCGCCGGCCGGTCCTGGGCCCGCGTGCAGCTGACCGGCCCGCCGCCGGTGGCCCTATCGGCCGAGGTGGCCGTCTCGCTGCCGGACGACCCGGCCCCCGGGCTGGCCTGCGGCGGGATTCGCCACAAGGAGCTGCGCGAGCACTTCCTGCGCCAGCTCCGCCGGCCGGTGTTCTATGTCGGCCAGGTACGCGCCCGAGCCTCGGCCATGGCATGCCCATGGCAAGCACTTGCCAACGCGCGCGTCCACCCACCCACCCACCCACACACACACACACACACACACACAGGCCCCCACTCACCCCCCCCCATGCCATGACACCCCAGGACATGGACGTCAAGATCCGCGGCCGGCGAGTGACCTTCCGCCTGACGGCCATGGCCGACCGGACCTTCCGCGGCCTGGTGGCCGGGCGCATTGTGGCCAGCGCGGTGCCCGACGCCCCGGGCACGCTGCTGGCCTTCCATCCGGCCGACGGCCCGGCCGATGGCCCGGCCCTGGCCCCGGCCTCCCCGGCCTCGGTGCTGGTCCAGGCCCCGGGCGTGCCAGCCGGCTGCCGGCTCCTCTTCGACACGACCCCCTGCTCGGACCGGTGCCCGCGCGGCATCGGCCTCCTGGCGCCGGGGACATACCGGCGCCTGCTGGCCCGGCTGGATGTCCCGCCCCGCCACCGGCACTACGTCCGCTTCGGCAATCGCATCCTCCTGCTCCTGTGCGTCGGGGGGCCCGGCCCGGCCCGGCCGCGCGGGCGGGCCGTGGCCCCTGCCCACGCCCATGCTCCCTGCGTGCCGCTCCCCCCCTCCCCCCTCCCCCGCGCGCGGACGCGCCCCCTGCAGCCCGGACGACCACCCCACCAGCGACCTGCTGCCCGGACAGATGCGCGTCAACCTGGAGGACTTCCCCCACCCGATGGCCCAGAGCGGCATGCCGCTCGAGTGGCTGGACTTCCGGGAGGAGGTGGGCTTCGCCAAGATCCTGGTCGGCTTCCACGCGGCCCGGCGCCACACCCGGGTCACCAATGACAAGCTCCGGCACATCCTCCTCACGCGCTTTGCCCAGGGCGAGCCCCACCGGACCAATGTCGTGCGCCCGCAACCACACCCGCCTGGCCCCGGGCCCGTGGCCGTCGGCCGTCCCCCAATGGGGGCAGCGGGACACGCCGCAGCCGCCATGGCCCCCTCGCCGCGCCGCTGACCTGGCTCCGCCCCCCCCCCCCCTGCGCACGCGCACGCGCGCAGAAGTACTACATCGACACCGACGAGGGGACGTGGATGTTCTTCGCCAAGTTCCAAGTGTCGGCCGAGAACCTGGCCGTCCGCACGGGCCTCTTCGCGCCGGACCGCACGCGCTTCTACTTCGAGTCGGCCCAGTCGACCCTCACCATCGCCGACAACCCCCGGACCCTGGTGCTGACCGGGCGCAAGCGCTCCGGCATCACCCTCAGCATGGACGTGGTCTTCACCAACATGCCCTCGGTCCTGTACAGCGGCATGCGCCTGCCGGCCGGCCTGGCCCGCCACCTGAGCGGCTTCGACCAGTTCGACAGCCGCGAGTATGTCTTCTTCCGCTGCGGCGTCAAATTCTTCCTCGTCCGGTGCGAAGCCCGGCCCCGCCACCGCCGCCACCATACCGCCGCCCGCCGCGGCCCGCCCTGCTGACATGCCTCGCCGGCCCCCCTTGCCGGGCCCCGCCCGGGACGCCAGCCTCTCGGATGTCCACGACGATGGCAACCACATCCAGGTGAGCCAGCACTTCGTGGAGTTCCTCTTCCAGAACAACTGCAGCTTCGCCCGCATGGAGTCCGTCATCCAGCCGCCGGTGGTGCGCGTGGCCCGGGTCCGCGTCACCCCGGTGGACGGCCTGCTCGAGGCGTGCCCCCTGCCGCAGGAGGCCCTGGTCCGCGCCTTCCAGGGGCTCTTCCCCGACCAGACGGTCGTCCAGTATGAGGTGCGTGTTGGCGAGCGAGGGGCCGAGCGCCCCCCGCCCGGGCGGAGGGGAACCCCCCTGCCGCCGCCCACCGATCCCTGCCGCCCACCGATCCCCGCCGCCCGCCGATCCCCGCCACTCACCGATCCCCTCGTTCTTCCCTGCACGACAGAAGCGCGAATTTTCCCACCGCGGCCGGCGCCTGCTCTTCACCGTGGAGCACCTCGTCAGCAACACCGACGCCGAGATTTCCTGCGGCGTGTTCAACCCCTTCTCCTCGCAGTTCCTCTTCCGGTCGCAGGACCCGCTGGTGGCCATCACCGGCGGGTGACACCGCTTCCGGCCCGGCCACCCCCGGCGGAGAGAGCCGCACGATCGCGCGGCATCCGGCCGGGCCGCCCCCCCCCCCCCCGTTGGCACTCCGCGTCCGGTGGCAGGCCCCCCACGCCCATAACCAACACATACACAAACACATAACCGGCCCGAATAAACAATGTCCCATTTTTATAGCGCCACTCCCTGCTGCTGCGGCCCGTATGTTCCCGCACTTTTCCGAGACAGGGGGGCGCCCGGGGAGGCGGCCCGCCTACCCCGGCTTCCGAAGTACCCCCTCCTGGGGGAACGCCAGATTGGGCTGCGTGCCGGGTGTTGCATCATTCCCGGTCCGGATGGGGCCGGGGCTGTTCACTTGCTCCCGTCTGGCGCGTCGGCTGAGTGGGGGGCGGGGGGGGGGGGG